AAAGGTTGGTGAGGCTACAGGGAAAGATGGAAATGAAAACACCCGCATGATGTGGCAGTGAGGAAGAGCAGGCAAGGTGAGGGGCAGGATGGAGGCAGCATGGGCAGGGGGACTGGCAAAAAGAGGGTTTTTTTCCTGCCTGGGGTTGTCATAGACAAGGTTGATACATCACCCATCAGCCTAGATACCTTATGGCTCTGCATTTCATTGATTTTACATCAGACAATAAAGATATCCTGGCTTCTCACATACAAGCCAAAAATGTAAATAAGAAGCAAGGGCCACATCCAAATGAAGAAGTGCCATGGTAAGGCAGGTCTTCCCACTGCTTCACAGAGGGAGAAAGATCTCCAAAGCATGCCAGGGCAAACGCTACACCTGCCTCATGTCGACACGGGACCATCCCAGCCTGGACCATGGTGGGGTGGGACAAGCCTTGACCACGGCATGTGGATGTTCTGCCACTCTAGGCCATTGCATCTTTGTCTGAACCCCCTCGACCAGGTGCTGAAGTCCTGTGCAGCTGTGCCAGAGATCATTGAAGTCCTCTTCAATTCCTACTCACAAATCCCCGTCTCCGAGAAGTGGGCCGAGGCCGTGCCAGAGGAAATGTTTCAGGTGGGACGGCACTGATGGTTGGGCAGGGATGGCTGAGCCACAAGGAGGAGGTTTTACCCAACCAGAGGGTTCTTTTCCCCACAGAAAATTCACTTGGGGGAGTGGGGGAGAAGGGATAGTCCTCAGAGCACCACCAGACACCCTATTCATCTCAACAGCTTTGCATCCCTTTAGCTCCATCAACGTAAGTCCTCCCCATTCCTGCCTCTGACCTAAAACAAAGTACAATCCCAACACCTGGAGGTGCCCCGGGAGCCAGACTCTTGCCTGGCAGGAGCCCACACCACTAATTTTGGTTTTAAAAAGCTTGTCCCCAACTGTGCAATGGGTACAGTCAGCCTGCTCTTGAAAAATCTTGGATCCTGCCTTGCCCCACAGATATTTGGTTAGGTTGG